TCACTTGGTAGCCCAGGCTGGCCTCGAACTCACAGAGATCCGCCTGCCTCTGCCTCCCGAGTGCTGGGATTAAAGGCGTGCGCCACCACCGCCCGGCCCCTGGCATGTTTTTTATCTTCAAGTTGCCTCCAGGTGAGGGCCAAAGAATAGAATTTTCTTAGGCAGCTCCCCTCCCCCTCCAAGGCACAACAGTTTCCACTGGAGCAGGGAGAAAGCCCCACTGTGACTGGGGTCCCAGTCTCTGTGGCCCACTTGAGTGATGGGCCCTGCCTGGTGCGCCCCCCCCCCCCAGAGACCAGTGGGAATGTTAACATTTTTGCAGGAGCTGCTTTCAATTATTTCTCCTCTGATCCCAATTCGTTTGCCAAACAAACAGCTCACGTAGGGGGACAGGAGTTGTCCCTCTGCTGGCTGCAAAGGGTGAGATGAAACTGTTATCTGAGTACCAGATTAGAAGTAGATGAGCAGGGAGGGCGTGCTAGTCCCTTTGGGCTCACATCTGACATCTGTCTGGTAAACAACAGTTCTCCCCACCCGCTTCCTTTCTGTCCTGAGAACTCTTCTGCCAAGTCTTCCTTTCAACCATGCCTTGGAGGGCAGTGTGCCCAAGCCAGGTCATTCCACTCCTGACTCCTCGAGAATGCCTCTGGGTCATGAGACTAGATTTTCTGTAGAAGGGGCGTCTGTCTGAACAGAACTTGATCAAATGTGACAGTTTCCATTCATCTGCTTTCCAGTTTAAGAAAATATATGCTCCAGTCTTATTTTAAAAGGGGAGGCCCCGGGAGCAAGAAGAGAAAGAAAAGAAAAAGTGGAGAAAGGGAGGGGTAGATGAAGACAGTAGCTGAGGAGAGAGAAGGCAGAACATGATACAGTAGCAAAGAGAATTGTTTATAAATAGAGAGAGGGAGGGAAAGAATGAAAGACCATCCCAGTTACATCAGAATTCTTCATATGAGATTTATCTCAATGTAACTGTGGAAAGGGGGTGTCTATCTTTATTTCATAATACCCACTCCATTTGTCATCTACCTGTCCCCTTATCCACCCATCCATTCATCCACTTACTCATTCATCCACCTGTTGACCCACCCACTCATTCATCCATCCACCTATCCACCCATCCATCTAATTATCTGTTCACTTATCCACTTATCCATCCATTATCGGCTCTGAAGGATTCCACCTATTCATCCACCCATCCACTTATCCACCCATCATTCTGCCCAACCATCTGCCTATCTTTCCACCTATTCATCCAACCATTATTTACTTTTAAGGATTTAGATTGTGTGCCTTTCATAGCCTACAGCTCATGATCTTGTAGCTTCTAGTTACATGATCATGCCTTCTGGGCACCTTGAGAATGATGTCTCCTGGCAGCAGCCGTCCATCTCTGGCAATCACTCCATCACGGTAAATATGCTGGATGATGATGTGGACCAACGGGGTTTCACTGCCTCCCACAAGCCGAATGGAGAGGCTTTCATTGGGATCCACTCTATTGATTTTGATGCTTGTAATTTCCCCATCTGGAATCAGGTGGTACAACCTTGGGAAGACTGAAATGGACAAAAACAGTATTTGTTTCAGACCTTCTTGCCAAACTAAACTGTGTGCTGTTCCTTGTGTGTGTTTCCCACTTTCGTGCTTTGGTGCCAGCATACATTTCTCTGCTGGAATGTTTTCCAGCCTGGGCCAAAACTCAATTTTCCCTCCAAGGCATGCATGAAATAATCCCTTCCAATTAAACTCTACCCCAATCCCTCTTTTTCTTGCTGTCTCTAAACACATGATTCCTATAAGGCTGATTCTACTTCTCATGGCATTCAACCTTCCGTTATTGCTATCAATGATGATCTCTCATATCACCAACTGGACTGGAGAATCTAGCAACCGGCCTCACTATCAGGCTGCATGTAGCTGTCTTAACCTGGCTCTTCCTAATGTTACTAGTCCTTGCTTGACTGCTCCAATTAATGTTTAAACTACTTGGAATACACATCAGAGGCAGTGATTTCTGGCTGCTCTAGGGTTCTGTGCACATGGGAGCCTTTGGCTGATGCTCACTGCTAGAATAGGAACAAACTAATGAACAGATGTCTTCAGGGAAATGACCCAAGATGGCATTACTTTCTTATCAAGGAACAAAAGCCGAATCGGCTCTTCTGTCCTCTTAGATTATTTCGGAAGATCTCAGAGACTCTGCTTTTCAGGCTCTAGGAATTCTCAGCCCTCTGGCAGATACTGCTGCCAATACCAGGCAGTCAGAAGACCTCGTTCATAGTCATGAAGAGGCCGAGATCATGGTCTCACGGCTACCTTCCGGAGGTGTCCCTCATCTACCTGGATCACTGAACTCAGTGCTGAAGAGAGGATCAAAGATCATGGGAGCGGGTGTTTCCTAACGTTAGTATTTGACCCAAGCCTGGCTGTGCCAGATAGCAGCTGTCTGGGTCACTGGGCAGTTCCACAATGATAGGCAGTTCTTTATTCACATGTGTGTGTGTGTGTGTGTGTGTGTGTGTGTGTGTATGCATGCATGTGCACACACGCTTGTGTGTGTGTATGCATGCATGTGCACACACGCTTGTGTGTGTGTGTGTGTGTGTGTGTGTGTGTGTGTGTGTGTGTGTGAAATGCACAGTCAGGAAGCTGTGAAGTAAGGTGACCGTGTCAGGAACACCAGGCTTCTAATGACAGGCACACTCATAGCCTCAATAGTTTCCCAGGAGCCAGGTGCTCACAACCAGGTCAAAGGTCACAGGAATTGTCCCTAGGTACCAAGAACCCAGAAGCACTGACTGGCACTGTCTTTCACTCCAGCTGGAACATAAGTATCTAGAGAGGACACCAACTGCTGAGAATAAGTCACACCTAGTCCCGCTGGGAGGTGGCTCCTTTGTGTAGCTAGAGGCTCAGTTAGGATGCAGAAGACCGGGACAGTCAGTGTCCAGTAGCTGCTGACAGCTGCCTTCATCCCCAGGGTCACCTTAAATTCTGACACTCAGAAGATAGGCTATGAGCCTGATTCTGTATAAGCCACTCTTCGGGACTATTTTCAAAACCCATAACCACAGTTCATTTGTTTAAACAACTCAACTCTCTATGAAAATTATACAGGAAAAAAATTATTTGCAATTACTATACAGCCTAATTAATGAGGTAATGTAGTGGGCAGTGGAAGCCTGTGACTTGTGGGTCTTTAACTCCGGATTTAATTTAATGTCAGGGAATGGTTTCTGTGAGGCTATGAGTGGCAGTTGTAATCTGTCAGTTACTAGTGCGAACAGTATGTGGGTGACTAGGCTCAATTAATGTTCAAACCGCTCTGATTGTATTAAGTAGGCTCTAAGCATGTGTCAGAACATGTCTGGTATCAAGGGGATGGAAACTTTTTGAAAAATCATTTTAAAACAAAGCAAGTTTTGGAAATAGTCATCAAAGCGCCCGACTCTCTCTCTTCCCTCTTCCTCCTTTACAACACACGCAAACATTGTTCTCCTTCAATGACCGGAGGAGAGCTGATTTGATTTGAAAGGACATGTCCAACACCACACTCTTAAATGATGCTCCTTAGAGCCAGACCAATGAGATCCCCGTGAACTTTCAGGGGTGAAAATGATTTAAAAAAAAAAAAATGCCAAAATGGTCCTAGTAGAGACACAAAAGAATTTGATCAAAATTCTGTCTTCGTCTGGAGATTATAGGATTTGAAAACATTCTTATCTGTGCACTGAACTAAGACATTGGAATGTGTATTTTCAGTTCTTCCGATGACCCTGTGAAGGCGGCTTCTTATCCCTGTCCCCAGGTGAAGATTCAGGTTGGCGGCAGGACGGGGATGGAGCGTGCGGGTTAGCCAGCAGCTCAGACACAGGCACGAGAAGCCACGCAGGCCCATGAGGGGAGAGCGTGGAGGGCATGTCGGGGGAGGGCAGCCACAAGCTGCAGAGACAAGCCAGGGGTCTCCTATGGCACTCCTGAGTTTTCCAAGGGCACGGTAAATAAAGTACCTGGGGCTTTAACCTTCAACTCCAAAGAGTGTTTGGGAAGGTGTTAAAGGAGCAAGAGTTTGAAGTTAAACCCTGCCATGTGAGTGTGCGTGCGTGCGTGTGTGTGTGTGTTTGTGTGTGTGTGTGTGTGTGTGTGTGGTGGTTGTTTAGCTGTGTGACTTTGGGCTACTTACCTAACCTTGCGATCATTTTCCTTATCTGAGAACTAGGAACGACAACCCTTATCTCATCATTCTTATGACATATGCATGACTCAGAGCCCTAGCTGGTACTGAGGAGCTGTTCTTAGTTTTAATGCTATTATTTTACTGTATACGTTTAACAAAAACCAGATGTGGTGCATGCCGGCAAGCCCAATACTCTCAAGAGGCAAAGGCAGGAGGATCACGGCGAGTTTGAGGTCAGCCTACACAGTAAGTTCTAGACTAACCAAGACTGGAGAGTGAGACCCCATCTCCAAAAAAAAAAAAAAAAAAAATGGTAATTTAACCTAAAAGCTTCAATATGAAACGAGAAAGATGGAAAACAATGTCTCCTCAGCTCCACTTACACTGGGGAAAATGTAAATCATACATGAACTAAGATACAATGACTTTCTCTCTGTGGCTTCACAGGTCAACAAGGGCATATAGAACAAGTTGAGTAACCTCTATAGGCCTCAGTATACTTTCCTGAAATCAGGGATAATGACAGTGAACCATCCTGAGAACCACACCACGGAGATGCTGGTGACCTTGAAATGTGCCCTGGTCATAGGGTTCTTGTGATGATTAAATAAAAAAGGCACATAGAACTTATAGATGTCTCATGTGTACATGTAATGAGATAATAATGTAACGAGTCTATCAGTATGTGTTAGCCTGTCAAAAGATGCTTTTTCAAGGGCCTTCGAGATAGGTCAGTGGCTCAAGGCACTTGGTGACCTGAATTTCAGCCTCAGGCTCCACATGGTAAAAGGAGAACACCAGCCCTCACAAGGTATCTTTTGCCCTCCACGTGCACTGGGACACATGAGTGCACCCGTCTCTACCCACACACAATAAATAAAGGAAGAAAATTAAAATAACAAATGAAAACAAAGGACTGAACTTGCTGCCTATCGGTTTGTACAGCACTCATGGTATCTATGGTATTTTCCCATTTCAACAGTAGACTGTATAGTGCCATGTGATGAGAATGAAATAAAATGCTTTTCCCTCTCTAACTATAGTAATTATTTTCAGACATATTAAGCTGGCCCCTGAAGCCCAGGGAGCAGATGCGTTTTCCCTCATCTGCGTAGAAAGACCACAAAAACAAGAGTTTCGGTCCTTACTCAGGCGGAGAGGCTAACCAAGGTGAAAAAACAATGCTGTTACCCTTGGGAAGAGAGGGAACATGGAGAGTGGGTGGTGATCAGACTGTCATCATTCCTGAAGTGACTTTGGAAACCCAGTCTGCGGCCAGCCTGGGGGTAGGGGTAGTGTGGAGACCCACAGAGGCTTCCTAGTGAGAACTTACTCAGGGTCAGAGAATCTGAGCTTGCTTTACCCAGCAGGGCTGCATAATGGGATGATTTGGCCACAGGCGTGGTTACCAGGTGTTTGGAAGGGTCTGTGCTTGACTGTACAGTGTGCTTTGATCTTGCAAGGGGGAGGTCTTTCGCCTCTCCCTTTGGCATATTATAAAAAGCCCTTTTGAATAAACTTCGAGGCTGTTGGGTATTGACCCAGGCCCTCCCAAAGCTATCCTGTGTCTCTGTCTTTCTTTCCATTGTCTAGATCTAATATTTCCTTATTTCTCTCTCCTCCACCCAAGAACCCTTCAAAAGGTGGGAGCAGGTTGGAGCTGGACTCCCACAGACTCGCACAGGGTGGGGATTCTGATTACCTTCAGGGACAGTGGCATTCTCAGAGTTCTCCCTGCCCTGGTCAGCGTGGCTGGCAACGGTACTCCCGCTCTTTGTCCTTCGAAGAACACTCAGAGCTCTGTTAATCTTTTTGAAAGATCGGCTTCTCATAGTGGAGCGCTCGAAGGGCCGTGCTGAGGAGAGATGTAACGGGAGATGGGAGTTACAGGTTCGCGGCCATCATCCGCTAGCCAAGTGTGCTGCTATGTGCCTGTAATCCCAACACTCAGGAGGTTAGACAGGAAGCCCACGAGGTCAAAGCCAGCAGAGGCACAGAGTGAGACTTTGCCTCAAAACAAAAAGGTGACAACAGCAAAAAAAGAGAAATATTTCATGTATAAAATATATGAAGTGGGACAATAAGATATTAAAACAGTGATTGTCTCTTAGTGATAAGAATTTACCATACTCCTAATTTTTTTTGTAATGAAAAAGCATATCTTGCTTATGTAAAATCTTTTCTCCTCTCTTGGGTAAACAACACTTTCTACAGCAGGCAGAGGAGGTCCCCACACTGGCAGGAGCCATAAGTCATCAAGCCTCACCTCAAATGCCTTCACCAAGTCAGATTACACAGCCATAAAGATCCGAGCACTCACGGTTTCATCTCACTGGGAGTGAAATTGGAGTGGAGAATTGGACGTGGAGTGGCTGCCAAAACTACCAGAACCATTTCCCCTTTAAAAAAACATTTCTAGAACTTTCCGCCACGAGTATTCTACAGAGGGCAATCCCAGGGAAAACCAAGAGCCCGTTCCCAGACACCCACCCATTTGACTCACCCCTGGTTCGGTTGCTCCGGCCAGAGTCTGAGGGGTTGGTTACTGGCTCACCATCCTCTACTGTGGACACGTAGGCAGGGTTGTCTAGGCCAGGCTCGTCGGTCATTAAGGAGATGGTGGCGGCTGCAGAAACTTCTGGGGAGAGTGGCATTGCTGTGAGGCTGGCACAGCCATCGGTGCAGCCATCTTGCGAGCGCCTTTTCCGGTCCTTGGTCAAGCCGTAGTGGGAGGCACCTTTGCAGCTGGAACAAACCCAAAGGGGCAGTTAGAATGTTTAGTCAGGACTCCCCCAATACACACATCTGTCCCTGTACATCCCTCCCCTTTCACACATACGAATATATGCTTGCCAGCCAGAGACATTAATGACTGAAATAGTCATTTTTAAAATCGCCTATTACATTCTCCTAGCACAATCTCCACGTTGGCTGCCGAACAGTAGACAATCAAATCTACCTGACTGGGTGTGAGGATGGAGATCTCTAACACTTGGACTTGGCAACTGCTTCTTACTGGTGTCTATTTTGACTACGAAAGCCCTTCATCACATTCCCACTCCTTTCTTTTGGGTTCGATCCCACAGCATTGGACATAAATATACGAGGACACTCCCAGATCCCGTATTTAGCCGACCATGGAAACAGAATCGCCCTGGCCACAAAGCCACAAGGGTTACTTGGAACTGCTGTTCTCTAGGGGTTAGGCGTGGTGGCTTCCATTCCTGTTCCATTCCCAGGTCTGGTAGGGCCTCCCATGCTCTTCAGAGGGACCAACACCAGGGACTCTCACACACTGGGAAATGTCGTGTCTCACAACATTGGAAAAGAAAAACATCTTTGATGGCCTATTATTATTAACAACAGAAGCCGGGCGGTGGTGGAGCACGCCTTTAATCCCAGCACTCGGGAGGCAGAGCCAGGGGGATCTCTATGAGTTCGAGGCCAGCCTGGGCTACCAAGTGAGCTCCAGGAAAGGCACAAAGCTACGCAGAGAAACCCTGTCTCGAAAAACCAAAAAACAAAACAAAACAAAACAAAACAAAAAAACAGAAAACCTTCTGTCCATTTCCGTGTTTCTATCCATCTTGCTCATTTCATTTCACCAAGAACCAAACTTTGTAAAGCAGACCAGTCATTGGTAGACTAGGGAAAAGGTGGAATGCTCAGGGCTCCGAAGACCAATGTTTGAGCCAGCTTAGATCCTTATTTTTTTCACAAACACATTTCCTCACCGCTAGGCTAGTCATTTCAGTTTACTGACAACGGTTTTGGTCAGGAACTGGGGGTGTTTTGCACTGTTGGAGAGGGCAGCCAGACGACACAGCTGCTGTCCCAACAGAAATCGTACTAAGGAACTCCTCCGAGGGGCCATTTGCCTCACGTAGGTGTGCTGATCGTATTAGTCTTACCCGTTCATTACACAACCCCCATATCGGCGGTTCTCAGCCTGTGGCTAGCAACCCTTTCCCAGGGGTCTCCTAAGACCATCCGAAAACTCAGGTGTTTACATTATGACTCATAATTTACATTACGATTCATGTAGCAAAATTACAGTCATGAAGGAGCAATGAAAAGAATTCTATGGTTGGGGGTCACCACAGCATGAGGACCTACCTATATTAAAGGGTCGCAGCGTTAGGAAGGTTGGGAACTGCTGACGTGTATGATTGGAGTCTTTTATTTTCTATTTATTTGCTTATTGTTCTTTCTTACATTAGAGCGTATGTGTGTGTGTGTGTGTGTGTGTGTGTGTGTGTGTGTGTGTGTGTGTGTGTGTGCATGCGCACACGGGACCTCACCCAGAAGTCAGGGAACACTGGTGGGAGCCATTTCTCTCCTCCTGCCATGTGGGTTCGAGGGATCGAACTCGGGTCCTCAGTTTGATCCACAAGCCCACAGGCCTGTCAGTAATTACCACTGTGCACTGGCCCATCGCTCTTTATTTTGATTTTATTCTTTTTAAAGAAAGAGCACAGTAGCTACACTGTGACTGAACTATTTAAAACAAACATGCATTTACTTATTTATCTATTCATTTAGGTCTTCTGAAACAGGCTCTTGCTATGTGGTCCAGGCTGGCCTGGAACTCACAATCTTCCTACCTCAGCCTCTTGAGTGCTGAGGTTACGGGCGTGCACTGCTGCACACCACCGAATAAACATCTGCAACCTTGAGTGATGCTTCGTGCCCTCGAAAGGAGACGGGAGCTCCTGTGAGCCTGCCGTTGGTGGGCCTCAGACCGACTGTAGACAAACAGAACTGACTGGAGGGATCCTAGAGGCGGCATCGGAATACTTGCCCTGAATGTACCTAGCTGTGTGACCTGAAGTAATTAGATCAGATGGTTAAAACTTCTGCCCTCGGGACTGGAGAGATGACTCAGAGGTTAAGAGTTCTGGCTGTTCTTACAGAGGGCTTGAGTTTGCTTTCCAGCACCCATGTCAGATGGATTGCAGTTACCTACAACTCCAGCTCCAGGAGATCTGACACTCTTATGGCCTCTGTGCCTCTCTCTCTCTCTCTCTCTCTCTCTCTCTCTCTCTCTCTCTCACACACACACACACACACACACACACAATCAATCAATCAATCAATCAATCAATCAATCAATATACTCTCTGTAAACAATTCATGCAACTCAGAAATAAATTTGACAAACACTAAAAATTATCCAAGCCTCGTAAGATTTTCATCCTACACATAGTTCCTGGCATAAAGTTTGGTTGACATGAAGTTCGGCCAGGAGCATAGCACCTTGCTAGATATAGGGTCAGTTCTCAGGAAACGGGAGCCATTCCGTGAACTCACCCATTCTGAGACACTCATTTCTCTTACTGTCCCATGTCCGAGGGTCAGGATGTACTGAGGAACCGCGCAGCATCTACCGCCGAGCCGCGGTTGTGATGTAGGTCCCACTGCCTGAGCATGGCTGACACCATTGCAGTCCTGTCATGACCCCACCTCCCACCTCCACCCCCGTGCTGGGCTCCTGCTTCTCCTCACATCACTGAGTGCAGTTACCCTGCAAATGTCTTCCAATAGAATCCATCACGGACGTATGGTTATAGCCACAGATCCCATCCCTCAGATCCCATCAGAGTAATGTTTTCTTGCAGTAGATGGTAATTAGCACAGAGACCCACAAGCAGACTATGTGCAGAGAATGAGACACTTTGGAACATTCAGTCCCAAATGGGATGTCTTCATCAAATCTCTCCCCTCAGGAGGTGGAAAGAGTGTAAGAGCCAGAGGTGGTGGATGCTCCAAGGAAACAGCGTCTTCCAGACACAACAGGACTCATACACATATAAACTCAGAGAGATTGAGACAGTGTGGTGCGCGCAGACACACACACACACACACACACACACACACACACACACGACCCGCACAGGTTCAAACTAGACAAAATCCCAGCGCTGAGAAGGGGAAGTAGACACAGAGTCCCACTAACTCAGAAGCTATCTGCAACAGATCTCTGCTGGAAAGGGGGAAATTAGTTTTTCTCCAACAGAATGCCACTAGGTATAAAAATTACACTTCCAGGCAGGCCCTGTGCTTGGAGTAGTTGGTCATCACAAAACAGACCCCATGTTTTGGTGTGCTTTTAGTGTTTTTTGTTTGTTTGTTTGTTTTTGTTTCTTTTTTGTCTGATTGGTTTGTTTTGATTTTCTTTTTCTTTTTTTTTTTGAGGGAGAGAGAAAGAACTCAAAGTTGTATGGAGACAGAAGTGGGGACAATCTTGGAGGAGTCAGGGGAAAATATGATTAAAATATATTTATGAAGAGGCCATTATGCTTCAGCACGGAAATGAAAAGTTACTGAATATAAAAAAAAAAAAAAAAAAAAAAAAAAAAGCAGAGGCAGGCCAATTTTGTTTTAAGAAGCAGATATCCATTCCTAGAAGAATGTCTACAATGTTATTTTCTTGCAAGGGAAAAAGCAAAATGCTTTATTTGCTTTCTTGGTTTATTTTTATTTATTTTATGTGTATGATTGTTTTGCTTACATGTATATGTGTGAACTATGTACATGCTTGGTGCTGGCAGAAGCCAGAAGAGGGCATCAAATCCCCTGTAGCTGGAGTTACAGATGGTTGTGAACCACCATGTTGGTGCTGGGAACTGAACCCAAGTCCTCTGGAAGAGCAGCTAGTGCTCTTAACTGCTAAGCCCTCTTTTTGGCCCCCCAAAGGCTCCATTTCAGGGCTAGAGAGATGGCTCAGTGGTTAAGAGCACATACTGTTCTTGCAGACGACCCTCATTCAGCCCCCAACACCCATGTCACGTGGTTCCCACAGTCTTTTGTAACTCAAGATCCAGAGGGATCTGACTCCTCTGGCCTTCATGAGTACTCCTCCTGTACCCATGTACACATACCCCGACACAGACCACACACACAGACACACATCTACACACACACACACACACACACACCATGTAGAAATAAAACAACTATTTAAGAAAATGTTTTCTTTCATTAGAGAGACACTCCCAAGGAGATGAAAAGCAGCACTACATTTGTCATGGACAAGGATCGTCTATTTGACACCAAACAATGCAGCCCAGGCCAGAAGGAGTTGCCGGGTTAACCTAAGTGCATTTTAAAGCCAATGGAGCCTGGTGTGAACAACCTAGCCATGTTTAATGGTGTTTGGGGTAATTTAACTGGAGACACATTTTAGGCTCCTTTTGCTTGTCAGTCAATACAATACAATGCCTTTAATAACCAGTGGCATTTTAAATGTGATGAAATGTGGTGTTACTCTTAGTAGAAAGGGCCTGTGATTACACAACTTTACACCCTTATTTTCTAGAAGATGGATAGGCCAGTACAAGCCAGAGCTTATACTTTTGAGCTGCCCCAAGACCTCCCCCCTGGGAAGCCTTAACATCCCTTTTGAATTGGTGAGGTTTTTAACCAGCCTCATCAGTTACTTTGGCTTGGAATTATTCTGCTCCAGAAGAGTAAAGTGGTTGATATGGAGAATTTAAAAATTGGAAGAAATACTGTGTGATGGAAAAAATCAGAGCCAGCACGCACTGGAGAGCGCCAAAGCTGTAATCCGAGAGCGGAACACGTCTCTGTAGGCCAGCGAGCATTTGGTCAGCAGGGCATGGAAAGGAAGTTCATGACTTGTCAGTGGATTTGGAAACAGCCTCTCTTTGTGGGCAGCAGTGCCCTTGACCATGTGCTCAGCCAGAGCAGAAAATACATTTCCCTACAACACAGGTGGCTAGAAC